TGCCCAGAGGGTCTGGGGTATGTGCTATGCAGGTGCCGACACCTGCAATGCAAGTGTCGGGCCCCCCGAGTGTTGCAGTAACGTATCGTGGCCCCTGCAAATCTGAAGCTTGAGGGGCCGAGGGGCCGGCTGGGGCCGTAAGAGGTCAGCGCAAGGGGCGCTTTGTGGTCATATGCCACATGCACATAAACATGATGATGGACTGGAAATTTGCCATGGACACATAATGCAGTGGCTCACAGAAAACCTGTGCCCATGTAGAACGCATCAATGGTTCAAGCTGCTCAGCAGTCCTCATGGACATGTTTTGCTTTATACTGCTAGTGGAGGGAGGGGGCAGGACGGCCAAACAATTGTAGCAGTGGATGTTCTTTGCAGGCAATGTCTACAAGAATTGTTCAGTGGCACAAGTTTGTTGTGTTTCCTGCATGCCCTTTGTTGCGGGCATAGCTTGCCTTATATAAGCCTCTAGGCAGCATGACTGCACCATGCAATGCCGCGTGGCCGGATCTCGAGAGGCACCTCCCAAGCGCCCGCCATGCATTGCTTCGAGGTGCTTGTTTTGCGCTTGCGAGCCAGTTTTGCGCGCAGTGTAATTTCGCAACTTGAATATATGCTGTATATTTGCCGCAGAAGCTTTTGGCTTCCACGCTTAGCTGTTTAATTTGCTGTGCTCTACTTTGGCAAAGCCATGTCAGTGTTGGACGGCAAAGAGGGTGAAGCGGCCGGCAACCAGCCTGCAAGATGTTGTGTGCCCAGCTGTTTGTTGCACGCATTTCTGCTGCATTCTTAGGACTTGTCAAATATCATGTCCCTGCAGAGATCTTATTGCGCTGCGGTAGAGTGAAACCACCAGCCAACACGCTTTTCCCAAAGGTCTCGAGCCTCGAGCGCATTATATAAAACATCTAGCACGCAGTTGTTTATTTTTTCGGAAGCAACATTGCACAAATGTGAAGCAGGAACCCCACAAACATCAGCTACCTTGATTTGACCAACCACCTCGATCTCGTTTGCAGCCTGTATGAGCTATGTCCCGAAGGCCACCTCACATCAGGATGTTTGTGAAAAACGTTTGTGTCCCTAAAAAAGCGCTTTTGATTCCAGCGCTGCATGCATGCAGGAGCTTTCACGCTTAACTTTCTCGCTTTGTGTTTTGGGAAGATCGACGAAGATGCCCGGGGCATGTTGGCGCAAGCAAAGACCATCCGTGCCAAAAAGAAGTGGTGTACTGATGACGCTGGCCTGCATAGCATATCACCTACAAGACAAGCGTTTTCATGCACGTACCTGATCCTAGGAGGCGTACACATTGTTTGGCATCCTATCCTACGCACGTTCCTATTGGCGCCGTGCCGCAAAACGTGGTACTAATGGTGAGGCCGGGCATTTCTTGTTTTGTTTTTCCCGACCGTCAAACACATCACATGGGATTCTTTGCCTTTTTTTTTCAAAATTAAACCCTAAAGGTGGCAGACAGGTTGAGGGCAGTCATGACAAGCAATCCTCGCAAGAGCCGCGCGCATCTCCAGAAAAACAAACGCTGCGCAGCAGATGACGACGTAGAGATTCTTTTCTGGACCCGAGGGCATAGTAGTTTGGTTGCAAGCCATATTCAGTCAATTGTTAAGACGTTGCAGGGGTAGGCGCCCGATCCTGCAATCCCTGCATGTATACATGAGGCATGCTCAGTGATGCAGTCGCGTGGCTGCATGTAATGCAGCTAATTTTGTTACATGCGCAGATTTACTTTGCAAGACGGTGTGTCAACCAAGGAGCTTGATGGTTCGCCTTTGGAGGATGGCGATTTCCCTTTGACTCAGGTGTGTGTGGAGGATGACCAGGATTTTCCAATGACACAGCCTGAGTTAGCCCAAGCCATCCGTGAGCAGCTAGATGAGTTCGTGGATGTTATTTCGGATGATGAGCCAGACCCCCTTGCTTGCAGCAGTGCCGGGTTGGTTGCTTGCTTGCGGTGTTTTTTTTAACGCTCAAAAGCAAAGCATATCAATGCAACGCATGCACAAAGCCTGCCGCAGGCTTGCGTGGGTTGTGCGCTTTATTTTTTTGCTAACGTGGAGTGCATCAATGATCCAAGGCTGCAGCAGCGCGACCTGTTGCAACGCCTGTTCGCCTCACGGGCGCTCCGCCAGACAACGCTGACACCCTGCTGACCTGCTATGATTCGGACGAGGAAGGTTTGCTTCTTTCAGGAAAGCCTTTGGTTGACCCTGTGACAATTCAGGCCCCGATAGAAGATTCGCAGGAGACACTGCGTTTGGGTTCGCCTGGACAACTCAGTTCGGAGGCCGAGGCTGCCGAAGAGTTGCCAGGCAGATGTGTGGTGGCAACAGCTAAGGGCCCTGTTGAGATGCAGCACCCTGTGCCTGAACCAGCGATTGCAGAAGGGGTGCTTCAGTCCGTATGGGCTGTGGACGAGCACGGTGTGTGCCACGCTGCAGTGGTTGCGACGACCCCGTGGGTGGCAGCAGCGTGGCACAAGCCGGACTTCGTAAGTTTGTTTGCCATTTTTGCAGCTCATACATGCAAAGCAGCTGATACACGCATGGCGTTGCTGCACAGGCATGTTTACTATCCAAGGCAAGTTCACCCGCTCCTGCTGCAGTGGATCTCGAAGATGGTAAGGACAAGAGCTTTGACATAGAAAGCATGTTTCATTTGTTTCGTTTAACGCATCATTGCAGGAGACGCAGAAGACGTTGTTTGGCGAAGGAGAGCTCCCGCCAGGGCTTCCAGAGTTTGTCTATGACGCTCCTGCAGAGCTTACGCAGGCTGTTTACGTGGACCAGATCAAGCCAAGGAAGAAGGCGCGCAAGGAGCCTTTCCAGCAGCAGCTGGCGCGTGACGGAGAGCCTGATGAAGTTCACGGAATGGATGAAGCTGCTGATCAAGCTGCGCCACAGGATGAGAAGCATGGCCAGATTAAGCGGAAGGCGGCCATCAAGCCAAGCATCGAGGCTGCGCCAAAGCCCAAGAAGCGCAAGGCCGAACAGATTGAGGCAAAGCCATTGGCTACGTGTCAGGCTGCTGCGGACAATGAGGCGAGTGGCCAGCCGCACTTGGGCACTTCGGCGCCTGATCAGGAAACAGCAGTCCCGATATCCGACAAGGATCTTGCGGTGCTGTCCGAGCTCACCATTGATGAGTTGCAGATCCTGTATGACGCGGAGGTGGCTGAGCCCTGGGTAGGCACGAATAATGTTTACAGCAGTGCCTACCGCAAGGCCACCATGTCAGGCCTTACCAAGCAGCAGGCCCAGCTTCGAGGCAAGATTTCCACTGCAATTTTCCGCAAGGAAAAATCCCGGCTGTTCTTGCCGCAGCTTGCCGGACCATTCCGAAAGCCCAGGGCTAAGAAGGTGAAGGCTGCTGACGGCAACCATGATGAGGACCAGGGTGGCAACCGCGAGCAGTGACTTCCCACGTCCCCTAGGTCCCGCAGGAAGGTCGGTCGGTCAGATGCTTGCGTGCGAAATTCTTTCACATGCAGGGTGAAAGCACCCCTTGTGTGTGTGCGATGGCATGGTACAACGCATGATCATCATCCAAGTTTGCGCTTCAATTGCAAAATTCGGCGTAGCACGAATTTGCCCACACATTTTAGGTGTTGGGCAGTTGTTTGTGCAATTATGGAGCAGCTAGATTGCAGCATGTGAATGACAAGGTTTGTGGCGCTTGCCACAAGCTTAGCTGCTGCAGGCATGCGTGCAAAATATGTGGTTCTTGCGCACGTGCGCATAGTGCATGGATCAATCCCACCATCATGCGCATGACTCATTTTGCCTGCGTTTTCCAACACGCAGGTGATGTGATCATTATATGGTTGAAGGCTCATTTTTGACAGGTTTCAGTGTGAGTGGCCTGTTTGCTGTTGCGAGCTGGGCTGCCCCATGTCGCTGTCAGAAACGTTGCCGAATCTTTCTTGCACATACACGATGCATATGTTGAGTACGGCCGGGGGGAATACATAGCATGCAATGCGCAACGCGCAGCTGAGGGATGTTGATGATGATCGTGCGTCTAATGATTCGGACGCCACGGAGCCAGCGCCGTTCGTGCAGCGGACGGTAGGGCATCGTCCCGGGCATCTTCCTGTGCGCATGTTCATGATCATCGCCCTTCTGCAACAGTTCTGCTGCGGAGACCAGGTTTTCATGGTAGACGCTTTTTCAGGCCGCGGGGCTATGGCTTGGGCTTTCAAGAAGCATGAGAAAAAGGTGGCACGACTGGACATGACTCTTAATGCCCAGGATGAAGCTTTGCTGCATGCATTTCACATGGACAGAGGTTTGGACAAGCTGCTTCACATCCATCATGACTTGTTATGAGGACATCCTCAGCGACTGTGGATTTGTTCGTCACTTGTGGCAAGCAATGCATCTTCGACGTGGAGGGTTACTATGCATGGGCATTGTTTGCAGTACGTGGTCAGTCATGTCACGCGTCTTGTCTATGAGATACACAATTGCTTGCGGGCGGGGCTTGTTTTTTTCTCTCACGCTGCTCTTGCGATGGCCAGCTCAGGCTACACAACAGGCCGCTCGGCTGACCAGCCGATGGGAAATGAGTGTCTTGGCTACGTGAATCATAAGAAGTGTGTTTGCGATCATTAGCATTGGAGCCATTGAATTTGCTGAGGGCCCGAGAAGCGGTGGCCGCAGCGAACTGTATGGTCTCACGCGTGCCACTTCTGCATGCATGGTCATGTAGGCTGCCGCACTATGCGCACGGTTCCGAATTGCATAGGCAATTCTGCTGATCTATGTGGCATTGTGGCGCAACGCGCACTTCCTGGTGGAGAATCCCCTGCAGTCGCTTGCGCCTAGTCACGCATTTTGTGGTTTCGCGTGTGTTGTAAGGGTGCCGGCGCGCATCATGGTGCACAATATTGCTAGCTGTACATCAGCATGTGTGTTGCACGCGCAGCTGAGATCACCATGCATACGAGATTTGCAGAGCTTATCCAGACCCGCCCAATCTTTCAATGCGTAACTTATTTGGGCATGTTTGGACATGGCTGTGCCAAGCCAACAAAGCTGCTGTCCGATGATCCATGGGTTTGCAAACTCGCGAGGCGGCCGGGCGTATATTGTATATACCTCTACATGCATAATAACTGCAAGTCTTCGTTTCAGTTTGCTCGTGTATCAAAGTTGGGCCTTGAAGGGTGGGTACACGTTTGTCTGCAATTTTTTGACACAGGAGACTGCGGCGTTGCTGCGTGAAGAAGACCATGGAGCTGGCAAAGAAAGGCGTCTCGAAGAAAACGGGGAAGCCTACTTTCACAGGCTGCAAGGAGAGCCTTAAAAAGGCTCAGGCTTACACTGGACGATTTGCCTCGCAGGCGCCGTCAATAAGGACATTAGATTGGCAGTTCATGCTTTCCATGGCTGCCGACTTGCGATTGCAGCGCTGGAGGTTGCACGAAACTTCCTCTTGTACGCGGAAAAGAATCCAGATCACAATATCTTGGTTGACTTCACCCCTGACCTATGGGTGGATGCAAGGCAGGAACATCAGCAATCCCCCCACCTGCTGCATGCTGACTTGCTGTGGAGGCTGGACTCCGTTGAAAGCTATGTGCGCGACCTGCTGATTCAGCAGTGGCGCAGGAAGGCAGCTGCAGAGACAAGGTAGGTGTGTCTTGGCAACCACATGGCATGCGCCTGCTCATATGCCAAATGCGTGATAGTTACTCTGATAGTTGTTTTGAATTTTTACGTTTCATGAAGCAGACGCGTGATCCACCCGTGGTTTGCAGGGCACACCTTTACTTTTGCGCACTGGCGCATGCATCGTAGAGTTGCAGAAATTCATTTGCAAAATTCGGCATGAGTGTGCAGTCGAGCTCTCACTGCGCAAGCCTTAAGGGATCCGTGCAAAGAAATGCATTCTCTTGCAGCATGCTACTGGTGTGCAATTGTTTTGGTGCAACTTTTGAGTGGCTGCATACTTTACGGTAGTGAAGCGCGCGGAACCTTGTTAGCTCAAAGCCTGCATGATGACGCTGATGTTGCAGGCTCAAGGTTTTAAGTCTACACGCCGTCAACGCATGGAGTGGTACATGTGCTTGCTGTTTCTAGCGCTTTGAGCGCTTCACACATCATGTATTTAGTTGTTTGTAAACAATGCAACCGTTCATGTTGCACTGTGTGAGCTTACGTTGCATGGCAAAAGCTTGCTTCGCGTAGTGCGCAGCGTAATGTACTGGCCATGAGCAGCATGAATAGCTCTGCTGGCCCAAAACTCAGTTGTGAAATTCGGCTACTGCATCGTCCGCATTTTTTGCCTTTGCCCAGGTTCAGACGCAGCACTTCCAGGCAAGGAACTTGAGAGTATAGCTTGCGTGCCAGGAGTGATAGTGCAATTCACGCGCTGTAATAAGGTCATGAGGAGGACAGACAGCCCTCTTCAGAGCCCGCTTGCACAGGCCAGTGTTCCGGTGTGCAGCTCTCCCTGTGTGAAAAGCAGATTCATTTTGCATCCGCTTTGCCTTGTTGGTTGCGACATTTTTCTTTTACGCAGCACGCAGATACACAGTGTAGTTTATAAACATAGTTTTAGCCGGACCCATGTTAGAGCGCGGCGCCAGATTTTGACCAGTTTGACCCTGCTTGGCACTAATCCACAGCGCAGACGGTCCTTTCCACGCCTATCCATGTTCTAATTCCACTCCTGCGCATGTGCGCACTGTGTCACGGTAGAATCTGGTAGAAATTGGCAGGTGACGGTGTTGAGCAAGGTGAAGGCGCAGAGGGAACACCAGTTGAATTGTGGGCGGACTCGCCCGAGATAGCCGCTGAAAACCGTGAAGGCCATGTTCCGCCTGTGTTTGCATTTGAAAAAGTTCTCTTTGCCTGGACAGGTGGATCTGGCAGTTCGCACGCCAGGGCAAAGTCAAGGTCGCCCCCGCGTCTGCAGATACAACTCTCTGGTCTGAGGCGGCTAGCTTCGCGACCAGCGTGGCAAAAGCCGACCCTGGCGCACGAATACTTGGTCCAAATGCGTGACTGGCACAGGAGAGATCCCGTGCAGGAAGATGAACGCATATGGTGCCCTAGCTTGTTTGACCCCACGTTTCTCGAACAAGCAAAACACAGTTCTGCTGCCACCGCCACTGGAAGTGTACAGGCTGGGCAACCCAAGTTGCCACCAGTTAGTAAGCCGGTAGGACCGCCGCTCCCACCAAAGCCGAAGGTTCCTCTTGGAATCAACCCTCCGCCGCCTCCTGTAGTTAAAGTCCAGGCGCCCAACGTCATGCCGCCACCTGCGCCGGTAAAAGCGGCTGCACAAGCCGAGGCCAAAAGGCCGAGGGGCAATAGGGGTGGCAAAAACTTGGAGTACTGGAAGCAGTACTACGCAGGCGCCAGGAGCACAAAAGATTTGTGTCCTTTGTTTGCTGCAATTGCGCACGGCAGTCATGTCCTTTTGATTCGATTTGCATGGCAACATTCTACAAACTTGTTGTTCCCCTGTAGTCATTCAGTTTCCTGTAAACTTACGGGCACTTATTGAAGTTTACGGGAAACTTAAAGAAATCTACGGGAAGCTGACGGGAACTTACAGGAAATTCATGGGAAGCTTACGGGAAACTTACGGGAAACTTACGGGAAACTTACGGAATCTTACGGAAACTTACGGGAAACTTACGGAAACTTACGGCAAACTTACGGGATACTTACGGAATACTTACGAAATCTTACGGAAACTTACGGGATACTTACGGAATACTTACGGAATCTTACGGAAACTTACGGGAAACTTACGGAAACTTACGGGAAACGCGAAACTTACGGAATCTTACGGGAAACTTACGGGAAACTTACGGGAAACTTACGGGATACTTACGGGATACTTACGGAATACTTACGGAATCTTACGGAAACTTACGGGATACTTACGGAATACTTACGGAATCTTACGGAAACTTACGGGAAACTTACGGAAACTTACGGGAAACTTACGGGAAACTTATACGGGAAACTTACGGGACAACTTACGGGAAACTTACGGAAACTTACGGGGAAAACTTACGGGAAACTTACAGAAACTTACGGGAAACTTACGGGAA